CCTGAGTTGATTCTCTGTTTCAGTTACTATGATACCACTGAGCAAAAGTATAGCAAAAAAAACAAAACACCAAATCCACCGGAACTCAAATTCTTTCATCCTTAATAAGGGTGTTTTTTGTTTTTTGTTTTTTGTTTCTTTAATTTAGAAAAACATTGGTCTCTGGTGCTCTTTCGCTCCCTGGGAGACAAGGCCACGGGGCATCTCGTTCAACCTCCTGACTTGCTTGGCATCCTAGGTGCGGTGGTGATAACCCCAGGCTACTGAAAGAGGGGCTGATGAGCTAGCTTGGCCCACGAGGGCAGGAGGTGTGGTGAGAAAAATAGTGCTTGCCAGCCGGCTCCTCCCAACCCACAAGCAGGCTCCCGGGGATCAATCCCGGCAGGAAGCCTTCCAGGCTCACCACGGCCACAGGGGGAGACCCATGGCCCTCCCACCCTTTTTTCTTTCTTTCTTTTTTTATTTTTTTAAAGATTTTATTTATTTGACAGAGACACAGCGAGAGAGGGAACACAAGCAAGGGGAGGGGAAGAGAGAGAAGCAGGTTTCCCTCGGAGCAGGGAGCCCGATGCGGGGCTCGATCCCAGGACCCTGGGATCATGACCTGAGCCGAAGGCAGACGCTTAATGACTGAGCCACCCAGGCGCCCCACATTTTTTTCTTTAAATCAGGTTTAAAGTCACAAAACTTAAAAACAGTTCCTTTAAAAAGAATTGAACTTTAGGGATGCCTGGGTGGCTCAGCATCTGGCTTCGGCTCTCCCCGCACTCCCCCACCTTTTCTCTTGGTTCTAACCCCACATCCTCCATGCTGGAGACCCAATGTGGCTACCTCTGGCCCAGGGACTGGTCCCCCAGGTGCACCCCAGCTCCCACTCCACACTGCTTCCTGCTCTTAGCCCCTCCCAGGTGCTCTGCTCTCTAGATTTTTGGCTTGGGATTGTGTCTGCCCCTGTGACAATATCTGGCCAGTGTTTGCAAGATTCTGAGGTTACACCAGGGCTCAGCAGGAAAGGATGCTGTGATCAACCGGATGGGGACCAAGTGAGGTCGTGGACGTGGTCAGGTGCACTGACCCTCGTCCACACAAGACATCGGTCTGACTGCCTGGCATTCTCCCTTGTCCATTCGGTGTCATTGGGATGCTACCTCATCAGGCCATCATTTTCTGCCACTAGATTCCACCCCAATTCCCTTCTTCTACGAATCCACTCAAGTGCCAAATAGCCAGGTGCCAAATACTCTTCTAAAAGGATGCTTTCGTCACTTACTCCTTTCAATGAACCGACCTTGAATTGGCCACCTCGTCCAATCAAAATGCCACACCCTGGCTTTCGAGGGCCTTAATAAGACATGGAAAGAACATGCCTTTAACTCAGGTTCGAGTGCTCAATGCCTACTTACCAAATAAATCCTTAATAAGAATAGTTATGCTCAGGGGCGCCTCGGTGGCTCAGCCATTAAGCGTCTGCCTTTGGCTCAGGTCATGTTCCCAGGGTCTTGGGATCGGGCCCGTTATCAGGCTCCCTGCTCAGCGGGAAGCCTGCTTCTCCCTCTCATACTTCCCTTGCTTGTGTTCCCTCTCTCGCTGTCTCTCTCTCTGTCAAATAAATAAATAAAATCTTAAAAAAAAAGATCATGCTTCATTACATAGAGAACAGCAGTGTTGATGTTAATTCAAAACCACAGTGATAGGCAATGTTTTATTTTACGTATTTATTTTGAACACAGCCCGATAGAAAACCAATTTAAATGTTGAAGGGTCTCATCTGACTTTTGTTCAGAATGAAACAAGCTTGACTGAAAGACATAAAGGGAAGGATATCAAAGAGAAAATGTGCATTACTAATGTGCACTCTAACGTTAATATCCAGGTAAATTTCAGACAGCTTTCTAATCTTTCACTCTGAAACTAGATCATGAACCACAGGGTAAACTTCTAAGGATTGGGGATGGAAAGTCACCCTATTTAAAGAAAAAAGAAAGAAAGGTATAATACCCTTAATATTCAAGATCAGAGAATGCACCCATTTCCAAGAGTAACTTGAGAGGCTAACTAGAGCAAATCAAAACATACGAATTATTTGTATTTATATCCAGGGGCTGCTTTTAATAAATCTAAGTTACTAAGTAACCAGCAGTCTGAATTCATATCTCTAAGGCAATCACATCAATGGACAAACATAACATGGATTTAATTTAAAATTTAAAAAATCAAACAACATGGGCTTTGAAGGCTTAGCAATTTGCCAAATGTTTAAGTGGCTCTTCTACTTAGCATGAGGAGATACAGGAATGTACCAGAAGTTCACCTGATTTGCTTAGAAATGCAAATCATTTCTGACAAAAGCCACATCCAGATGTAGCTACATCCAGATTATTCCTGAGTTGAACATTCTGATGTCAACTCAGGATTTCTGAATGGCCACTCACATGTCCAACTGGACAATTCACAGTTTCAGATGGCTGGGATGAGCAAGTCAACAGGTACCAACACACTGCTGTTTGTTTGTTTTTGTTTTGTTTTGGAGGGATTCTTACTGTTCCTTTGGTTGAGGAAGTCAGTCTTAGTTGAGTGTATCAACTGGGCTTCAATTAGATGAAATGATTGGTAATTCGTACCAAGTTATGGCTAAAAATAATCCATACTAGAAGAGGTGATAGAGCTAAATTGGGAAGATAAACATTTTAGAACTGCTATTCATGTAACAAATATTTATTAAGCAGAGGTAATCCATTAGCCTAAGGGACCAAAAACTGACTCACATATTCTCAAGGATGACCATGAGTCATTTCCCATAGTTTCAACCCAACTTACTTACAAATCCCTCACAGTGTTGAGAAAAAAATGCTAGCCTTGGACAGAATCATAAACCCAGAGGATTAAAATGTAGTCTAATTGGTAAATGTCTACCTTCCAGGTAGGCAGCTGGGATCCCTGGACACCTCTCACATTCCTCCTGCCCCCTCATATTTCCAGCAAGCAGTACCAGGCTTTTCTTCTCTGTAAAAGGCAACCTCACTTTCGGGATTGTAGCTGTAAGTAGGCTTGGGAAGGGTCCTTAAAGGAGGAATATGAACCAAGCTGTGTTAAGTCCTACGTGCTGAAAGTAAAAAGAGGTAGCTATTATTAACAATTCCCTAATTATTTTTATCTGTCTTTTCAGGAGCCAACCCCAGAGACATTCTCCTCTCCAAGAGAAACTTCTCTGGGGAAGAAACCCTGGGGCCATGATTCTGCCATTTCTTCCTCCAAGCCTCTCACTGGTAATGGGTCCTACCAAAAGGCCCAAGAGTACGTAAGAAACTGGCCCCCGGAAGCTGGCAATATGAATAAAGGGCTACGATTCTCTGCCTGATCATTTGAATGGTGCTTATTTCACGGAAGAGTATAAGAAAGCACATTTCTTCTTAAAATTCCCAAGAACCAGCTCATACAGAAAAGACAGCTGAAGTACATGCAAAAACAGATTTCTGAGGGGCAAACTATTTGCTGTCTATATGCTTGGGCAGAAAACAAGAACCCGTTCATTTTCTAGGTAGATTCCAGTAACATTTCATGTCTTGGAATGAAGATGCTGCAATGGAGAAAATGGGAAACAAGGGGAGCGTCTTTCTCAAAGGCACTAACCTGAATTAAAAAAGCCTGGGTGGCTCAGTGGTTAAGCGTCTGCCTTCGGCTCAGGTCATGATCCCGGGGTCCTGGGATCGAGGCCCACATCGGGCTCCCTGCTCCGCGGGGGGCCTGCTTCTCCCTCTCCCACTCCCCCTGCTTGTGTTCCTACTCTCACTGTCTCTCTCTGTCAAATGAATAAATAAAACCTTTAAAAAAAAAAAAAAGAAACAGAAATATTTAGAGGGCAGCTACACAATGCCTACAAGACCTACAAGACTGCCAACCGAAACGAGGGCTGGAAAGAAACAGAACACAGTGGCTTAATCTCTGTGTAAAACCACCAGAGAAAAAGTAATTCCTCCCCTCCCCCCACCCCGCCCCCAATCTTGGAACAGGAAATCAAACATCCAGGTGTAATTTAACTGCTGGAACAAATCTGCCATATTGACCTTGACAGGGCCTTGAATCATGAGATCGTAAATCCACACCCTAGATAGTCACGATCATTTTGGACAGCCCTAAAACCCAGGACTTCGTTTCATTCTCAGTGATTAGCAGGATGTTTGGAAAGCAGGGTGATCGCTGGGGCTTACTTTGAAAGATGTCTGTTGTACTTACATCAAACACTGATTTCCAGAAAGCCATCCCTCCCCCCACGCCAACCAAACACGAGACTCTCGATCCGGTTCTGTTTGCTAAACAACTTATTACTTATACAACTTTAATTTTTTTTTTTTTTTCCTTTTCAGTAATTAGAGCACCTTAGGCGCTTGGATCCGCAGCGGGGGTTGTTTTAGAGAGTTTTGGAAAATTACGTCTCAGCCACATTCCACTTCCTTTGTGGACTTCATTAAAAGGCTTTGGTTAAGGCTTCAATGATCCAGGTGAGGGGACGTGTCTTAGAGTCGCTCAGAGAAGGCACAAAATCAAACACCATCTAGAAAGGCGCGCCGCTCGTCCTGCAGGGGTGAGGGTTGTTTGTGCGGCGCGCCCCAGAAGCAGAGCGGTGGTCCTTCGGGACGCCGGACCCTCCCCCAGGCTGCATCCCCAGTGGGCATCAGAAGCACACTCGCAGAGGTCGCCGCCGGAGTCCCGCCCCGCCACCGGGAGTCACGGCTTCCTGCCTTCCCCATCAAGGTGAACGCAACCCCTAGGGGCCGGCGGGGGCCGCGCCCCGGCAGCGCGGCGGAGGCGGCCGCTCGCAGGACCGCCAGGAAGGAAGTGAGCCCCGGCAGCGCGCCTTTTCTCCCCGCCCAGCAAAGCCCGGGACCGGACGCCGCGGGCGGGAAAGGGGCCCGCGGGCACCTGCCCCACCCCCCCGCCGGCATGCACCCTCGCCCCGGGCCGGAGCGCCCTCACACTCACCCACGCGCGCGTCCACTCACCAGCAGCCCCTGGTGTCCGGAGCCCGCGTGGGACGGCGGCTGCGGCGGCTGTCCCCGCGCCTGCCGTGTGGCCTTGGCATCCGTCTGGCCGCTGCAGCACGGGCCGCGGTGGCTTTTGCTGGAAGGGCCTGCAGCCGGGTGATGTGCCCCCCCTCCCCCCCTCCCCCCCCGTGAGGAGCGCCCGCTCGCCGGCCTTGGCCGTGCGGTCCCCGCTTCTCCGCCGCGCCCCGCTCTCCTCCGCCGCCGCCGCCCCTCGGCGCCCGCGCTGCCCAGAAGCCGCGCCGAGCAGGTCCCTGGGGAACCCACGCGCAGGCCGGCCGACGCGAGCCTGCAGCCGGCCCCGCCGCCGCAGCGCTGGTCCCGGCCTCCCCGGCCCCGGGGCCCCGGGCGCCGCCTCCGCCCCTGCCTCCTCCCCTCCTCCGCGGCGGTGGCTCCCGCATAATGCAGAGAAAGCTCGCGGGTGGCAGGCAGCGAGTCCCCGGGGCGGGCCTAGGGCGCCGGTGAAACCACCCGCGGCCACTCTCCCCTCCGAAACGCTGCGCGTCCCCTCCCCAGCCCGAACTCCTGGGGCTCGCTTGTGCGCCACCATGGGCTTCACCCAGGTGGCCCCGAGGGGGTGCCCTTTGAACGCTGCGGGGTACGCGCGCCCTGTGCAGCTGAACATGGCCTTGACCCTCGCACGGGAGTCCGAGGAAGGCTGGCGCGTGGGTGGAAACCCCACTTAGTCCTTGTGTTAGGAATTCCGCCTGGAGGGTCATCCATAACTCACCCCCACCGTGAAACGCGTTAGTCCTCTTCCTTCCCCCGCCCTTCCCCGGCTTCGCGCACTTGGGTAACGCGGACGAGTCAGCTACCTTCTGGGTACCGTGTTATTATCCTGTGCGGTGCTTTTTAGTATGGTCCTGGCCCTGTGTCCGGCACGATCAGCGTGAAATCTTGTTTCATCCTCCCCACGGCCTTATGAAAAGTGCTCTCACGTTTCCCGTGATTGCGACCCGGAGAAGTAATTTGTCCCTGGTCACCCACTTAGAAAGTAGTACGAGTTAAGATTTAAATTCTGATCTGACGTCACTGCACGGTATTTCTTTCTGTCGGCCCGGCAGATTCTATGAATTTATAAACATTTTATAAACACTGCTTCTGCTGGAAGAAACACAGACACTGTTCTACTTTTCCCGAATTTGGGGAGGAGGTTATTTCCAGGAGAAGTGATTGCAGAGACATGTAGTGAAAACACTGGCTTTTCCTAATCTCCTTTAATTGGGGAGACCAAACTTCCAGCCCTGCCTCTGGCCCCAGCTGAGCTGCTGGGCCTCAGGCATGCCCCACCTTTTTAGGCCTCAATTCCCTGTTTCGGTTTTGGAAAATGAAGAGGTTTGATTCTTGGAGGCGGCCTGCAGCCCTGATTTTGGAAAAGCGATGGTGTCATTGTTTTTCTCATTTTGAATTTAGTTCCAAATTTTAAAATCAGGAAATTTCACAAAAACGCAGACTCTTGGTGTGTTCTGAGAAGTTGAAAGAATTGGCAACGCTTGGTTCATGGTGGGTTCTAGCAACCATCAGCTGGAGCCAAGTCAGAGGTGTTCCCCTTGACCCTGGGATGATGCTCTTCAGTTTTCCACAGCCCCCACCACGCCCGTATGCCTCACCCCACTGGCATTTGAAGACAGGATAGACATTTGAGTTTGCAGTTCTGGACTAGATAATCTCATGACCGGCTAGACAATCTAAAAATTCAGCTGTAATTAAGATTAACCAGATTCCTAAAAAATATTACAAAACAAAGAATTTTACATAAATATTTATAGTGGTCGTTCATCAGGGTCTTGCTACCTAGAATCCAAATGATCATAAAAGCCAAAATGGCCTAGTACTCGCTGTCTACACCCCCTAGCATCCCCTGCACCATCATGTGACCTCAGTTCAGCCCATCAGAGATTCCTATCCAGGTCTTTGAATCCAGAGTCTGGCTCAAACAGGAGACATTTTAGAAATAATGTCATTATCTAGGAAGTGATGTTTGTGCTCATAAGCAGCAGTGCTAGAGGTAACAGACACGTCCAGTGGCAACACCAAGCGGTGTCCTACGTGGACTGGGTGACATGTTCTGATTCCAACCACCCTACCTGTTTAATGAACCTGATGCTCCAGCCTTCCTGTCTGTTTTGGTTTGCTACCTGCTGGCCTTCCAAGACATTGCTCTTCTGATTAAGTGATCAAGATTGGTTTCAGTGTTGGCCACCAAAACTCTGATCCAGTGACTTTTGGGATGATCCGGGTCTGCCTCCCTTTCACTAATGGAATTAATGAAAAGTGGGCACAAGTGTCTTTATTCAACTTTTATCTTGGAATTTTAAAGTGTTCTATAATTTTACCTGCACTTTTTGTTTTTAAATATTTTATTTATTTCTTTGAGAGAGAGACAGAGAGGGCAGGAGGCGGGGGAGGGGCAGAGGGAAAGGGACAAGCTGACCGCCCCCTCTGCCCCCCACTGAATCGGGCTGATTCCCAAGCCCGAGATCAGAATCGGGACCAGCCAGAGCAGAAGTCAGATGCTCAACCCCCTGAGCCACCCAGGTGCCCCTTTACTGGCACTTTCAAAAGATTTTATTTTACTGTGAGCCCAATATGCAATTTTTTTTTAAAAGATAGGATTTGTTTCCTTTACTAATCATATTAGCAAAGATCATGTGTAAATAAACATTGCCCTCAATACTAGTGAGGGTGCAATGAAATGAGCCCCCTCATCTGGTGGTGTAATTTTGATACTGCCAAGGAAAGGAAGTTGTCAGTATGTTAACAGAAGCTGTGAAATGTAGCCTTCCCTGCAAGTAATTCTACCTCCAGGAAGGAACTGATCCTAAGGAAATCTGAAATGAGAAATAAGATTTCTCCATTGAGGTATTTATCATCAACTCTAGGCATTAAAGTTAGGTTTATGATGAATTTTAAATAACACTGAAGCTGCTCGTGATCCAATGTTAAACAAATCAGGATATAAAATGGTGTCCACATATAATCTCAACTGGGTGAAACCACAGGGGAAAAAAATCTAGAATTTATTAAAATTACCCCTAGAGATTAGCTATGGGCAATTATACTTGCCTTTTTTACACTTTACTATAATTTTAATATCCTATAATGGGCATACCTTCCTCTTATTTAGGAAAAAAAGATTATTTAATAATTACAAATACGCAGAATTGGTAGCCAGAAAAATATGAGGTTCTGTTTATCACAGTGCCTCGTTCATAATGGGTACGTAATCAATATTTGAGTTAAGAACGAAGGTAGAAAGAAGGGAGGGAGGGACGAAGCGGGGGGTCACACTGTTTCACAAAGAATGATGAATTAAGGGATTGTGATTCCCCTGTCATTTGCTTAGTTATGGCACATATAGAAATAAGACAGCGCATTCTAAATTGCTTTATGTTTAAGAGTTTATTTATTTGAGAGAGAGAGAGAGAGCACAAACGGGGGGAGCAGCAGAGGCAGAGGGAGAAGGAGACTCCCCACTGAGCAGGGACCCTGATGCAGGACTCGATCCCAGGACCCCGGGATCATGACCTGAGCCAAAGGCAGACGCTTAACCAACTGAGCTACCCAGGCGCCCCCTAAATTGCTTTATTAAGTAATACTGCATTTGAGTGTTTCCCAATTGTGGCATGTGGCAAAACATTGAATATCTTTCTCATTGGAGGAGTAACATGGAGCCAGCACTCAGACTTTTTCCTGTCCCAGGGCAGGAGATCTGAGACAGATCTGGGGTGGAAGAACCACAGGGTATTGGTGTTCAAGACAAAGAGGCCCCTTTTGCCTCTGATTGGCTGCTATATGGAGGCCCGCCCCTCTCTCTGGGGCCCCAAAAGTCCAAGAGTTTGGAACAATCTGTAATCGCCACATCTGTTGACATCCTAGGGGAATCTTATTTGTTGGCACTCACAGTACAAAGATTAAGTGTGCAGGCTTGAATTTACATAAGTCAGGAGACCAAAATTACATTTGTGCACTCCTGTAATTGTTTGGTGTTTGCACATAAAGTGACAGTCCCTGGCGTAATAACCGCCCTCACCTGGGGTCCTTGCTGAGTCTAGATGGACTGGAGTCCTTGTTCTTTGTTTAGAATTTCCTGGCTCTGGATTATCTTTAAAGTCAAGGGAAAAACAAGAACTCTAATACCCCATTGATTCTACAGGAAGTGGTATTCATCTCAGAGATTATGTGCTTAAAAGCCTGTTACCTTAAAAACGTGTGTTCTTAAAATTAGGGGTTTGCTGTTGTTCAGTCCAATAGTTCTCAAAGTATGGCTCAGTGACCCTGGAAATCCTTTCAGACGGATTTCAAGATCAAACGATTTTCATAAACACATGAATACATCATTTGAATTGTTCGCTCTCTTTCTCTCATGGCTTGCGGTGGAACTTTCCAGAGCTACATGTATGATATCACCACAGCTAGAACACAAACCCGGGCAGGAGAATGCAGCCAGATGTCTGCAGCCAGATGTGAAAGAGATTTCTAAAATTATACAACAATGCCAGATTTCTCACCAATCTTTGTTTTGTTTGGGAAAATATAGTTCTATTGTAATAAAAATGACGTATTTCGCTTCCCATGTGATCACTTTCTTATTTTTTTAATAAACTGATAAGATATTTAAAATTTTTAAATTTTATTTTCTAATGCAGTACAGATGGGTAGTTAAAAGTCACATAAACAAAAGCTCTCTGGAGTCCTCGATAGTTTTTAAGATCATTTGAAGAGTGTCAAAAAGTCCCCAGGCCAAAAAGTTTGCAAGCCAGTGGTCTAGGCTATTACGGAGCTAGTAAGTTCTAAATGACCTATTCTTCATTTGAGGAATTTCTTCATAACTAGTCCGTGTCACAGAACGCAGGACTTAAGTGTACCAAACACAGAAACATAAGGCACATTTGACATTTTCCCATTTGTGAGATTTATTTTAGCGCTCCCTTCCTGTTTGTTACTCTAGGCTCGGATTACTTCACGTCCACTGTGTTCCCGGAGCCCGTACACTGGATGAGCCTTCAAAATTCCTGCAACTGTGTCTTCCCCTACCATCTACCTTCCTGAGCCTAGTTTTCCCCTGGAAACATGGGAATGGTGGCTCCGGATAGTTCTTGAGGTTTGTCAT